ACCCTGGCGGCCGCACAGGGGAGCCATGGCATGGGCAGACGCCCTGCCCAAGGGCCCACCCTGCTCCCCCAGAAGCTCGGGCACAGAGTGGACGTGGTGGCTTCTGAGTCCCAGCTCCGCCCTCCTGTCCTGCAGCCTCCAGGGACCGTCATACCGGCCAGCACCTCAGGGTCACTCACGCCCCAGCTCTCCAGCCAGCGCTTGGATTCTTCATGCTGTTAAATGAAATTAAACATTTTGTTCCGTAATTTTGCTGTCCTCACGGGCAGTATGAGAGTAAGATTTAACGTTGCATTGATGAGTTTAAGCAGAGGACACACGCTTATTAATATTTTCTCCTCGTTTCAGAGCAGAATTTCACTAGAAAAATGAGATCTGGTGCGATCTTATGAGACCCGCTTTTTAAAAAAGTTCTTTGAGGATTTGTTGAACCCAAAGGGAAGACGCCCTGTGACCGAGTGTGGAAGGGAGTGACGGAAGAGAAGCGTGGTTGATGTCAGTAGGCTGCGTCACAAACGCGAACAGGGGTCGGTGCGTTCTCGCTGCCCACTGGCTGGACGCCTTGTCAGCCTGATGGCCAGGTCTTAGTGGGCCGGTCTCTTCTAGTAACTGCAGCGCAACGTGCTTTTCATTTTACAGGCGCAGCGGGGCCTGACCGCGTGTTTTGAGCGCGTGTCGAGCAGCCCGTGTGCCGGTGCTCCATCCGCAGACCCACCCCTGGGGCTCTCACTTCCGGTGGGTGCTGCCAAGTTCGCATCGAACGTTCCTACATCGCCGATGGTTTTACCACAGTCAGAAGATCGGCTCCCGGCCGCCTCCACCCTCGGCGCTCCTTCCCGCCCACTTTTGCTGGTTTACCTCGGTTCCCCTTTGCCACGCCAGACCACGTCACAGCCTGGCGTTCTGGTTGACCTCACCCCGCCGCGAGTGGAAGCTGTGGGGCCTGCCCGCCCCGCCGCCCCCCTCAGCCTGCCCTCTGTGGGCTCTTCTCCGCTTTGACATGTCGCAGTCAATAACACGTCTCTTCTGTCCTGCGACCTGGACTAGCTGTCATGCCGCGTCCACGGTTACTCTGCTGTCAACGACCCACGCACAGCAGCGTGACCAGGAGCCCTTGCGGCTCAGCCTGGAGCCACCGTGCTCTGAGCGGTTCCCTCCCTCGGGAGCTGTCCCCAGCACCGAAGTCCGTGGGCCCTGCCTCCTGCCCATGGCTCAATGCCACCACACCGGGGCTCCCTCCAGGTTTGCTTTGCCTGTTTCCAGTCACGGCAGGTGCCCGTTGCATTATGACATAGATGAGATGCCCTAGGAACTCGGCTCTCGTCACGTCCGTTAGCCGACGGTAACCTCGGCGCCCTCGCACGCTGCTGTGGGGTGACTTTCCGAACCTTTTCATCCGGTTGGGAGAGGGCCGAGTGCTACCCTCCCGTCTCAGACATGGCCCCGTGCTTCCTCGCTCCTTCTTCGCCATGACTCTGTGGCAGCCCGTCGGCCCCCGGTGCCGATCTGTCCCCCTGGGAGCACGTGCGTGTTCTCCTTGGCGCCCCGAGTCCGTTCCCACCCTGTGAACACGTCTTCCTCTGCCTGAGGCGCACACGGAGGGTCAGCTTTCTGAGCCTCGTGTGCCTGAAACACGTCTGTTTTGCCCTCGCTCTCAACTGAGAATTAACGCTGGGGTCCAGGGTTCCTAGTTACAACCTTGACCCCCACCCTCCGCCCGGCCCGGACGCGCTGTCCTGCCAGCCAAGTGCTTCTCTCTCTCTCTGCTTCTGGATGATTTAGGATGGTCTTTAATTCTCCAGCTTCTAAATTTTGCTATGAATATTTCTCTGAGACTAAAACGACCCTTTTTTTATACTGAATGGATTGAGTTTTTTTGCTTATATTTTCGGTTCGCTTCTATTTCCAGGCCTTTTCTCTCCGCTCCCTGTTCTGTGGGAGCTTCCGCTTTCTCTCGTATTCCTTCATTGACATTTTTATTTCGGGGAGAGGCCAGGGGGGCAAAATACGGTTATTTTCCAAGAGCTCGTTCTCCGCTGCGATGGGCCGTTTTCGGCGTTTCCTGTCCCGTGAGCGTGTTCCTCGGTCCCGAGTCCCCTTTTCTGCCCCAGAGCGGTTTCCGTTCCCTGCCTTGTTCCTTGTGTGGGCGGTAGGCGGCCACCTCGGCGGGTGTGCAGCTGACGCAGCGGGCAGGTTACGTGGGAGCTCAGTGGCGAGTGGGCCTCCTGGACCATGGGCCCTGCGTCGGGCTGGGAGGGTGTGAGCCCACCCGGCTGTGGGTGGTGCCCGGCCTCCAGGCGTGGGCACAGGGAGGCTCCACGGGCACCCGTTCCCGTGCTGGCCGCGCGTTTACGGTTGGTCCGGCTCTTTTGTTTCTGCCTGGGAATAACCGTTCAGGGCACTGTGGTGCAGCAGTGATGGGCGTGCAAGGTCCCCGTCCCCCGGAGGCTGCCTTCCAGAAGGAGGTGTTGGCAGCTTGTCGGTAGCTCTGCCGACGGCCCCTCTACCTGTACCGTGATGCTGTAGATTTGCAGCTTTCTAAAATCGCGTCTCGGAAGATGGGGGGCTGGAAGCGCACTGAGTCATGTCCATTAGCCGACGTCCGAAAGCTCAGTTCTGGCCCTGTGGAAGGGTCGTCACGTGTGGACGCTGGGCCCGGCGGTTGGCGCTGAGACTCCACAAGAACAGCCCGTTGCTCCCAGTCGGAGCGATGAAGACTGGCCCCTGGGGTGCCCAGCGGCCTTGACACGCGGTGATTCCATGGCTGCTGCTTTCCGCCAGCCATGGCGCGGGGCCTCTGACCCGCCTCTGCTGGGGTCGCGACCCGCGGATGCTCCGACTACCCTGTCTCTGCAACGTCAAAGCCCGAAGCTCCATCCCCCGTGGAACAGCTCTGAAAAAAATGAGTTATTGCCTCAAAGTTTTGAAACCATGTTGGTTAGAATGAACATTTGCCGTCTAGACCAGCGGTCCCCAACCTCTGATGCCAGGGACCAGTGCTCCTGCGGGAGTCTAAGCCTGATGGTCCGAGGCGGGGCTGAGGCAGGGATGCCGGCGCTGGGGGATGGCTGCGGATACAGATGAAGCTGCTGGGGCGGCCCGGCCCCTAACAGGCCACCGGTCCCTGGGCCAGGCGTTGGGGGCCCATGTTCTAGTACCTCCTGGCATCAGTGTCTTAACAGGGACGCCTGGTCTTCCTGGACCAGAGACCTTTCTGCTCCGCGAGATGCAGGGCAATCAGAACGAGCCCCTTTGGGCTGCTCCCTCTAGAATGAGGTGCGCTCAGTAGACGGTGCTTCTCGAAGGGATTTTGCTCTCACAGAGCTGATTCGTTGTCGTCTGCCCTCCTCCAGCAGCCCTTGGAACACCCAGCCCTGGGTCCTCAGGGACACTGCGGAGGCTGCAGCCTGGGCTAGCTGTGCGTGGTCTGCTGGCGTCTTCAGGGCAGCCGTCCGGGCTCTGGGCTCCAGCGGCCGGCGGCCCCCAGCTGTGGGCTGGGTCAAGGAGGTGGGCTCCGGCCGCGGGGAACAGAACTCAGGGTAAAACAGTGGAAAGGGACTGTGGTTTCACGTGGCGACGGTGTCACGCCTGAGGCCACCGTGTTTGGGGGAGGGTGGGCGTGACACCAGATGCGTTCCTTACTGTGGGTCTTGGCGTTTAGAAGACGCTTCTCTGGAGAAAGGCGAGGGAAAGCTGGGTACAAACGAGTCCAGCTTTTCCGATGTGACCGAATGAGCCGTGCCGTGGGCGCCGTCGTGGTCTGCCGTGCGGCCTCCTGTCGTCTGACGCGACTCCTGCGGAACTGCCCTCTGGACGGAGCAGATTGAGGTTCAAGGCCGCAGTGGGAGCCGCCAGTCCCCGCTGCCCAGGAGAAACGCCGTGGGAGCCGTGAGCGCCCTGTTGCTCCCTAGTATCTTCTGTGGCGTCCGTGAAAATACTGCATTTAATTTATCAACTTAGCAGTTCCGCGTGCAGTCAGTGTAAAGCATTATTAAAGAGCTATCTTACTGTTTTGTGCAAAGTCCCCTGTGCCTTTTGCACACACCTCATCCTGGGCTCATTGCACTTCCGGTGCTTCCCAGCCACACGTGCCACCACGGCCACCACGGCCACCACCGTGTGCCTTCAGTTCTAGCAGACGCCCATTCAGAGGGCAGAAGCGCTGCGCCCCACCATCAGACTGCACGGTGCCCCCCCCCTTGGCCCTGAAGGGAGCAGGAGCCAAGACTTTGGGGCTCCTGCTAAGCGCAGTCCGGGGTGGGGCGCTTCAGTGACCCTGTGGGACGTCATCATCCCAGCAGCCCGATGAAGTGGGCGACGGTATCCCCACCTTACTGGTGACAAAACGGGGCCCACACAGCCTCACCCGGTGGCCACATGGCCTCCCAGCTCAGTCACGGGCTTCACCTTAGAGGGTGTCTTTCCTGGGCCCCCGTTTTTATAGGTGGGGAGATGGCGTCTTGGAGGAAGGCAGCGTTTTGTGATAGAGCTGTGATTGGGATGAAGTAGCTTTGTTCTCAGGGTTAAGAGCTTGTTTTGAAACGTGATCACACTGTGCGTGGAAAGCGTAAAGCAGAGGGCGCGGGCCCCGTCACCCAGCGCCCAGAGTGGAGCGCCGTTTCCAGTTTGGGGTATACCCTTCTAGGCTTTTCTTTCTGCACTCACGTAGTCTCTCCCCTCCCCGCTCCGCACCTAAGGGCGTCATGGACATGGCTCCATGCCGGAGTTGGGCCCAGGGCGAGAGCCGAGGCCTGGAGAGGCTGGCTAATCAGGGGCCTGAGGCCACCCCCGTCGGGGCTGCAGACGGCCAGGGCCCGGCCAGGGGTCCCCTCCCTCTGAGCCGGCCTCGCTAGCCCGCCTGTCCTCACAGCAGCTGCTCCCTCGGCAGAGCAGGGCCCCGCCACCCCGGGCCCGTTCTCCTGTGGCATCTCTGTGGCTTCTCTGTGGCTTCTCCGTCCTTGTTTCTGAGTCCCACTTTCTCGCGTTTTCTGTCTCTGCAGCCCCCAGCGACCTGACTGCAGAGGAACGTCAGGAACTGGAGAACATCCGGCGGCGAAAGCAGGAGCTGCTGGCCGACATCCAGGTAGGCGGGCGGCTCGCGTGCCGCCGGGGTGGCAGGTGTCCTTCACAGGGTTCCTCCTCCTGACGCCTGACTGCTGCCCTCACCGCAGCTCCGGACAGAGCGCAGGTGTTGATGGCCACCTTTGCTCACAGGCGAGCGGGGGGCCCTCAGGTTA